AAATCATAATGGCTCCTGCCTTCAAAATGGAGACAGACAGGTTCCTCAGTCTCCCAGGTGGAGCTCACGGCATAGCTCTGCATTCAGCAAGCTGTTCAAGAGACCAAGCACTTGTCTCCACTGTAAATCTAGCTTTATCTCTAGGTCTGATAACAGATTATACTTTGAAAGAATTCCAGGAGGCTGAAGAGATGGCTCAGCAATTAAATGCACTGACTGCACTTCCAGTGAATCCAGGTTCAAATAACAGAACCCACATGACAATTTACAAGTCTAACTCCAGTTCCAGGGGATACAACACCCTCTGTAACAGATTTTTCTTTGGGCCACCAGCTCACAAAAAACATAGACTTACTATGAAAGTTCGGCCTATAGCTTAGGCTCATCCCACTAGCTCATAGGTTAACCGATTTTATATTAATCTTCATTTTGCTTCATGGCTTTTTACCTCTTTTTCCATCCTGTTTCCTGTCCATGACCTGTGGCATCTAGTGTCTCTTTCCCTCTCTCTGCGTCCTGCCTAACCTCTTCCTGCCTAGCTACCAGCCAGTCAACTCTTATTAAATGAATCAGAAGGTGCCTTGGCAAAGACACATCTTCACAGTGTACAAAAAGATTATTCCACAACAACACTCTTCTGGCCTCTGTGGGCACCAGGCACACATTTGGTATACAGATATGCGTGCAGGCCTGTCCACCTAATTTTTAAAAGTTCCAGTTAGTTGTGGGATGGTGGTGGCACACACCTTTAATCCCAGCCCTCAGGAGGCAGAGGCAGGAGGATCTCTGAGTTCAAGGCCAGCCTGGTCTACAGATTGAGTTACAGGACAGCTAGGGCTACACACAAACCCTGTCTCCAGTTTAAAAATGCACATGGAATTGGGAAGGAGTTTAAAGGAAATGGGAAGCAAAAGGTCAAATTCTGCTGGGAAAGTGCTGAGCTCCACCCCATAGGATATGATATCAGATAACCCAGGAAATCAGGTAGAGTTGAGAGATGGCCTTGATCTTAATAAGCTACTCTAAGTTGTGGTTTTGGTTTTGGTTTTTTTGTGGGAGGGTTGAGATAATCCTGACTGTCCTGCTTTGTAGACCAGACTGGCTTCAAACTCAAGAGATCCACATGCCTCTGTCTCCCAAGTCTGGGTTTAAAGGCATGTGCCACCATGTCCAGCTTTTAAGTTTTAAGATTTTTAAAAAAAATTTTATGTGTATGAGTATGTTGCCTACATGTATGTATCAGCATGTGTGTGCCTGGTACCCACAGGTATCTAGAAGAGACTCAAATACCCTGGAACTAGATTTATAGATGATTGTGAGCACCATAAGGGTGCTGGGAACAACCCAGGTCCTCTGCAAGACCTGTAAGTGCTCTTAACCCCCGAGCCATTGTTCCAGTTTTAAAGACTTATTTAAGCCAAGCCTGCCTTTGAAACTCATAAAGCTCAAGGAAATCAGGACTTTCTGATCCTCCTGCTTCTACATCCTAGATGCTAAGATTACAGTTGTACACCACCATACACCTGGTTTTATGCAGTGCTGGGAATCTATCCCGGGACTTATGCTAGGTGGACATTATGCCATTCAGCTACATCCCCAGCCCTGTAAAAAGAAATTTTTTTCAACCATGGCAATGTGAACAGAGCTTGGGTGTTAGGTTGTATGATGGAACTGGAAGTTGTTAGCTGAGTGAGTGTTTAAGTTTCAGTATTTCCTTAAGTTAATTTGTACATACTGACTATTCGTTCGTCTGTGCTGGAGGCTGTGACAAAATACCACAGAGTGGCTTAAAGAGAAACCATTTTCCTCAGATCTGGAGGCTGGGAGACCAGAATGGCAACATCTTACTTTCTGGTGCGAGCTCTTCCTGGCTTGCGTGAAGGCAGCTGGAGCCTTGTTTTTCTTCTTACAAAGGTGCTGATTTCACTGGGGTTCCACCTGTGTGATTTCATTTAGGCTGGGTCATTTCTTCAAGACCCTGCATCCGAATGCATGCCATTGAGTTTGTAGTTCCAACAAAGGAACTGTGAAGTCTGCGGCAATTTATCTGGGCTGCTGTGAGTCAGGAGCCAGTGAATGGACATGCATCGAGGATGCAGATGACATTCCCTGTACTTAACAATACAAACTTGGATCAACAAAAATGCATGTCCGCCTTCCACTGAAGGGCTGCCAGGTGTCTGTTCATGTCTAGTACGTGGAGTTGGGAAGGCCTTTCAGAGGTGGGTGTGGTCGTAAATAGGCCTGTTGTCGGAGCACATTGCCTTGTGTCTGTGGGGAGTGGGCACTTAGACTTGAGTGGTTTGCAGTTCTGGAGACTGAACCTAGCTTCAGCTGGGCAAGGGCTGACCTGCCACCCCAGCCCTCTCTGAGACAGCCTCGCATTGTCCAGGCTGATCTTGAACTTTCCATCCTCCTGCCTCAGCCTCCCAAGTAGCTGGGTTTAGAAGCTTGTACCACCAGGCCCTACAAACTTGAGTTTTAAGTGACTTTCCAGAACCAGCTGGCCTCTACCTGGTTTGGTGTGGTGTGGTATGGTGTGGTGTGGTGTGTGTGTATCTGCAGGTGGGTGCATGCATGTGCGTGTGAAGGCCAGGGGTAGACATTAGTGGTCCTCTGTCACTCTTCCATTGATTGATTGATTGATTGAGACAGTATTCACGGAGCCTGGAACTCACCAATTGCTAGAATGGGTGGCATGTGAAGGCCAGAGGTAGACATTAGTGGTCCTCTGTCACTCTACCTTATTTATTTATTTATTTATTTATTTATTTATTTATTTATTTATTTATTTTGAGACAGAGTATTCACGGAGCCTGGAACTCACCAATTGCTAGAATGGGCGGCCAGGAAGTTGAGGCTATCCACTCCTCTATGACATTCCCTCCCCTGAACTGATACACATGTGCCACAATGCCTGGCTTTTATGTGGGTGCTGAGGGATGCCAGTGAGTTGGCACCCTACCTGAGCAGCAAGCACTTTGCCCACTGAGCCGCCCCCAGGCCCCCAGACCTGGCTTTGACCCTCCGTAACGCTTTCACTTCACCATAGTTGTGTGAGGTTAACCCGTGACAGAACTTGGGGGTGAAGTGTGAGTTATTTGTTGCCTGTTGGTCAGAGCAGGCTGTCCGGGTGCTTGGTTGCGGTTTGGTCCAGTTGGTAGCCAAGGCATGGCCAGCCTGCTTCCTGTGCCCTGCTCAGTGGGTTCTAGAACAGGCAGACATCTCTGTCCTGCCTCCTCTAGAGAGTTATAATACAATTGTGGATAAGCACTGTGCCCCTGGCTGCTCAGAGACGATTCCCCCATCCTGTCACTTAGGAAGCTTTCGGCAGTTGGCCCAGGGACAGTGAAGACAATGTCAGTCAGAGTGGTTTCATCTCACTACCTTCTCAGACTGACGGGGTCTCATTGGGTGTTTGTAAGCAGGTGTGCAGCCAGCCGAGTGGACCACATCGGCCCTGTAGGGTATGTGTGCGTGGGGCTACTTGGGACCAACAGATGGCAGGACTATGCCTGTGACCTTGATCTCAGGCAACACACTGACCAGCAAGCTATAAACCATGTACCATTCACTGGTTACCTTGACTCAGAGATGAGGTCCACAGAACTAGGAAGAACACAATGTGTCTCCAGCAGAACCAGCACACACACCCCCAATATCTGGAAGCCATGGATAAGTGGGTTCCTTAGGTAGAACACCAGTTGGGTGAGGATTTGGGGCTCATGGTAGTTGTGACATGTTGTCTGCTGTGGGTCAGTTTTGGAGATTCTTCAACTCACAGGAACTCTGTGGAGGTGGAAGACCTGCTTCTTAGCACATGTCTATCTCTAATGGTCACTGTGTTGGTATCTGGGATCTGCATTGTAGGCCCTCAAATGACCAAAAGAGTTGGCTCTTCAGTGACCTAATGTTGGAAACACATTGGATTTAAAATACTTGGAAAGGCATCTTTTTTTTTTTTTTTTTTTTGTGGTGCTAACCACGTCTTCAGAATACTGTGGGAACCTGAGATCCACTCACAGTGACAACTTGAGGATGACGGAGTCTGGGGCCACCTCTACACCTATATAGAGTTGACACCTCACGCTGCCCTGCCCTGCCCTTGCCTCAGCATACTTGTTAGGGGATCTGACAACCTGTATCAGTTTTCCCTGCTAGATGGGAGCTACAGAGATACTTCCCATTCCAAATCCAAGGGAAGGCAAGCCTGCGGTGACCCCTCAGTCTTCCAACATGCTCACTGACTACCCAGCACTAGCAAGTAAGTGGGTTCTTTGACTGGACCTAAGAATTGTTTGGTGGGGTTGTCTCAGTTTTGTTGAGCATTGGTGACTTGCACATTCTATGTCAGGGCTCGAGATATCCTCACTAGAGGGGGATGGGAGGACACCGATGGCCAGCTGCACCTCGCCCCTGTGTCTCCCCCCTGCTGTCCCCTATCTACACCTGCAGTGCCATTTTGTCTTGCTTGTTGGAGACAGTGTCTTATTATGTAGCCCAGGCTGGTCCTGAACTTGATCCTTTTGCCTCCTCAGCCTTCTAAGTGCTGGGGTCACAAACCTGCCCCACCACGGCCATCTGCAGCGTCCTGAAGCTGCATCTAGCAATTGCTGTGGACTCACTGTCCCCAGTGCCCATCATAGCTCCCATGCTCTCAGCCCACAGGCCATTCGGAAAACTGCAAAGCCCCATACAAAGGAAGAGGGGAAACCATACTTTTTTTTTTTCTTTTTGAAACAGGGTTTCTCTGTGTAGCCCTAACTGTCCTGGAACTTGCTCTGTAGACCAGGCTGGCCTTGAACTCAAGAGATCTGCCAGCCTCTGCCTCCTGAGTACTGGGATTAAAGGTGTGCACCACCACTGCCCGGTAATACTTTTTTTTTTTTAAGGCACTTAAAGTATGAAAAGGTAGCTGAGTGTTTCATGACTTTTCCTGGAAAGCTGTATGAGTTACTTTTTTTTGTTGCTGTGATAAAAAAAAAAAAAAGTGACCAAAAGCAACTTAAGGAAGAGTTTATTTTGACTTACAGTGCCAGAGGAAGAAGAGTCCACGAGTCAAGGAGGCACGGCAGTAGCAGCAGGAAGCTGAGAACGCACGTCCTCAACCACAAGCACTAAGCAAAGACAGAGTTGGAAGTAGGATGAGGCTTTTAATCGAAAAGCCTGCCTCCAATGTGCATTTCCTCTAGCAGGGCGGTAACCTCCCCAACCTCCCCAAACAGCGCCACCAACTGGACACCAAGCACTCAAGCAGCCGAGCCCGGGGGGAACATTTCTCACTCGAATCACCCCAGAGGCCGCGGTACTCACCGTACTCACCAGACACCAGCCACCCCCGAGAGATCAAAGGAAGGATGCCATTCGAGTCCAGCCTGGCCAACCAGTCTTTGACTCATTTTACAGCAGCTGCATAATGGAAAAGCTTCACGCCTGGTCCCACCTTCACTTAACACCTCTCCCCTACACTAGCACTTCTCGGGCCCGCTTGCAGCTGGGGCAGTATTAGACACAGTTGGAGGCTGGCAGCAGGGAGCAGCCAGGATCTTAGACGTGGTCTGATGACCCACCCCCTTCACAGGGAATGTTGGTAGGCTTGATTTAGTGAGAGTGCCTGGCCTCTCAAAATCAGCCCAGATGGCAGTAGTAATATTTAGCAAGTGTATCACACTGAGGTTGCAGCGTCTGAGGGGTGGGAGATGGCTCACTGGATAAAGAACTTGCTAGGCAAGCGTGAGGATCCAAGTTTGGAGCCCTAGCACTCACCTAAAAAGGCTGGATGAGCATGTGGCCCACCCATCATCTAGAGTTTGGGAGGTGGAGACAGGGCTGCTGGGGCAAGCTGGCTAGCTGGACTAGCCAAGGTTCAGCAAGAGACCCTGTCTCATTAATCACAGAGAGTGATTAAGGAAGACCCAATGATGTTGAACTCCGGCCTTCACAAGCACACCCGTATGCATGCACACTTCCTTCTAGACATACATAGCACATCCAAGGGAGATTTCAGTATCTGATGTTGGATCTGACAGAGAGGGATGGTCATGAGGCTGTTCTTGGGCAGTAGGACGTACTCCCACACGGCCTAACGCTCCTCTCATCATTCAGTAATTCTGTAGGTCCTGGAACTTGACTGTTGTCTACAAGACTACATGTAGGGAGCTGGAAAGATGGCTCAGTGATAAGTAAGCAGTTGCTGCTCTTGCCGAGGACCCAGCTTTGGTTCCCCAAACCCACACCATGGCTCACAACCATCTGTAACTCCAGTTCCTGGGGATCAGCCACCCCCTTTGACAAGGCTTGCACATGGTACATATATATACATGAAAGTAAAACACATGCACGCACACACACACACACACACAGCCTGTTGAACTCAGGACCTCCAGAAGAGCAACCAGTGCTGAGCCATCTCTCCAACCCCTAAAAAAATTGTTGTTTTTAAATACAGTTTTGTTGCTGGGTGGTGGTAGAGCACACCTTTAATCCTAGCACTTGAGAGGCAGAGGCAGGTGGATCTCTGAGTTCAAGGCCAGCTTGATCGACATAGAGAGCCCCTGTCTCAAAACAAACAACAACAACAACAAAAAGCAAAACAAATATAAAAGGACAGGACAATGGATTGCAAGATGTGACCCAGGAAAGGGGCATAGGTAGCTATGGACACCAGTGACGAAATCTGATTGCCCAGTATAATTTTGTTGATAGTATTTTCTCCAGGGTGAATTTCCTAATTGTGATTGTGTCTTGAAGAAATATTGGACAAGGCTAGGGATGTAGCTCAGGTTTGTTTATCACGCATGTGGCCCTGGTTCAACCCCAGCACCAGAAAAAAACAGGCCAAAGTTCTAGCCAGTAAACACACAGAGTTGTGTTTAAAATTAAGGGGCACAACTGTCTCCAGCAGAATCCCAGATGATTCAAAGACCCAAACATAACCTGTATCCATCCCTGTTTGTCGAGATTGTGGCAATGGGAATTTCCGCATAATTCTCGCAGTCTTCCCTAAATTGGAAAATACGTATTTTTAAATGACTGGGAAAGCCCCAGTAGGTTCTCCTGTGGTGATGGGGACAACTGTCTTCTGCAGAAATTCCCTTGAAATTGACACTACTCAACTTCCCCTGAGCACAGCCCCAGCCTGCCTTGCTGGCTCCCTACCCAGGTTGGCTGTTGGTGGAAGGACATCGAATTCCAGCAGACAAGGAGACATCAAGCTCCCTTGTATCACACATGGCAGGCCTCTGCGCCCCTCCTCTGCACACCTGAAATACAGGGGCAGCGAACCAGGCAGGCGCCATCATGGGGTTTATTTTACATTTTTATTAACACCTTTATGTACCGAGAAAGCTTTCAGGGTATGCTTCTCCCACCTCATAGTCCTACTGGCCTCCCCGCTGCCGTAGGTTTAGGCTTGCCCCAAGACACCTTCTGTGGCATCATCATCAGTGTTTGCTGTCTCCTCCGGTTGTGGGCTGAGAGGGACTCGATCCTGCGACAGAACAGGGAGAAGCTTGGAGCTAGACTTTGCAGAGATGTCAGTCTCTTGAGAGAACTCACGCAAGGAAGGCTGTGGAGAGATCCGAGAGCTCTTGCGCGACCGCGGCTGCAAGACAGAAGTAGCTGACGAGACAGCCAGGGATGGAACCCTGGAGTTCTTTCTTGACTTGGTCAGGGACGAGATACGCGAGCCCGGGTGCGAGGGAGTCAGGGATGGGGGGCGGGATCCCGGACGTGATGGACTCAGGAGAGCAACCACAGACCCAGCCTTCCGAGACTGGGGCTGAGAAGACTCAAAAGACTTTACCGAAGGAGTCAGGGAGGTTCGGTATGACTGGGCCAACGACGAGGCCCGGGAGGCCACACGTGATTGGGCTATAGCCTGGGCGCCTAAAGTTGCATAGGATGATTCCAACACGGTGGCAAGTGACCCGATGCGCAAGTTGGGATGGTGGATTTGGGGCGGCTGCCAGAGTGGTGGCCCCCCGGGACCCCGGTGCAGCCAGCCGTGCACACACTGCAGGTTCCGCACGTCTTCGTGCTCCCTGCGCAGCTGCTCCCGCTGCTCTTTCAGGTGTAGTTTCAAATCCTGCAGTACCTGGGCCCGGATGAGAAGCCTCAGGAGTTCAAGTCGGAGACGCCCATTGTCGGCCCTGATGCCCTGTGTGTGAGCAATGAGGGCACGCGCCGCCTCCCGCTCTGAGCGGCGCGTCAGGGACTGCACTTGCAGGCGCGCCTCGCGCTCAAAAGCGGACTTGTCCTCCTGGAAGCGTCGCTTCACCCGGTGGAGGAGCTGCGTGTGCTCCACGCGCATGTGCAGCAGCTCACGCTCCAGGGTCCGGATTCGCGCCAGCTGCTCCAGCTGCAATTCCTGCAGCGGGGGGCGCGGATCAGCTCACAGGTGGGAGCGCGCCCATCCCTCTCGACCCCGCCCGGTCCGCGGGGGCGCGCTCACTGGCCTTGTAGGGCTGCAGCTCCTGCACCTGCTGGGCCATGTTTTCCGCGCGCATCTTCATTTCCAGCAGCTGTGCACGCACCCCGTCCTCGCGCCCGAGGTAAAGCGACGCCAGCTCGGCTCGTTGCCACCGAATCTGCGCCAGGTCCATGCGGTTCTGGTCCTCGAGGCGCACGATGGTGTTGGCGCAGCGCTGCGCGTGCGCGCTCACGTAACTGGCGTAAAGCCGGTTTTCTTCGCGCAAGCGCTTCGCCTCTTGGTTCAAGAACGCATTGTCCTGCATCACCTGGTCCACCCGCTTCTCACAGGCCACTAGATTCTCTGAGAGCAGCGAGTACTCGCGCTGCAGGTACTGCGCGCGCTCGGAGAGCGGGGCCTCTGCATTGTCGCTCACCTGCTTGTGAGCGCTTGTCCCGCGCTTCTTCTTGGGCGCCATGGCTTGAGGCCCGGGCTAACCCGCTCCCTCAGCTCAGCTACCCCCTTTCCTTACCCCGAAAATTCTGGAGAACTACACCCTAGGTTCAGGGACGAGTCTTCGGTTTATACAGTTCAGAGCAGGCAGGATTAGAGATCAGAAAGCATAGTGGCCAACCTGTGTCTGAGGGCTGGCTCCAGACCTCGGCTGTCGCATCCTGGCGCGTGCATCTAGGAATGTTGATGTTCAACCCGCGCAACCTCTATGGAGACAGAATTAAGTCGCTGTCCCCCACCCACCCCATTCTGTTGCTCTGGCAACAGCTTGATCCAATCTTTCATTCCCTGCCGTTTCTTATATCCTTGCATGATTCTGCAGGGGTATAGTCGCAGTCAGGTAAACGGTCAGCTTCAAGACATTGAACTAACTTCCACGTCCCCATCCCCCACTCGCCAGGGTCTTAGGGCTCTTGCTGTCACTCCACCAGGGACTCTTCAGGTCCCACAGCATAAGGGGATTCTTTCCCATGCTCCCTCCATCCAGCTTCGAGCCGAACCCTTCCCTGCCTGTCCTTGTGAAGTCTATTTCAGGGAAGTACATTTTTTTTTTCCTTCTTGTCTAGCGTAATTCCCATCGCAAATTTCTCAGTTTTCTGGGACTCAAGATCTCATCCCTTTCCTTTTCACGGGCATAGTCGCTTAGTAGATTGTAATTTTTCAACCTATGATAAACTAAAAAGGGCCCCATGTAAGAAGGTGCCAGGATCTAGCGAGGGAAGACGGGGACCTAGTGCCTCCTTGTCTGTGATTAATTAGTGAGCGCTTAATGTCCCTCACATTAAAACTTATATGGAGTAATCTTTTTTTGTTGGTTTTTTTCGAGGCAGGGTTTCTCTGTGTAGCTTTGGAGCCTATTCTGAAACTCGCTCTGTAGACCTGGCTGGCCTCGAACTCACAGAGATCCACCTGGCTCTGCCTCCTGAGTGCTGGGATTAAAGGCATGCGCCACCACTGCCTGGCTGGAATAATCTTTTTGTACACTTCCAAAATGTGTCTTTACCAAGGAGCCTTCTGATGGGATTAATAAAGAGCTAATGGCCAATTTATAGCTAGACAGGTAGAGGTTAGGTAGGACTTGTGGACAAAAAGAGAGCTAAGGGGAAGAAGGAGGGTGGGGTCTCAAGGCAGACACGGAGGAAGCAGATGAACATGCCAAGCTGTAGAAAGGTACTGCCATGTGGTAGAGAGTAGATAAGAAAACTTAGGATGTAAGAGCTAGTTAGTAACAAGCCTAAGATATTGGCTGAGCATTTATAATTAATAATAAGTCTCAGTGTGGTTATCTAAGAGCCAGCTGGTGGGACAGAGCTGAATGGAGGCCCTGATGGAAAACTCTACCCACAAAAAATGGACCTTGTTTGTACATTTTTTTGGCCAGCACACTTTTCCCTGAGGCTTGTCCATCACACAGCTCAGCATCTTCTTAACTTTCTTTCCGAATAGAATAGACATCTAGAGGGCATAAGGGGTACACCAGGGATTTGATGTCTCCCTTTTTGCTATTAACTCTCCATAGACAGCATCCTTACAGGATTCACTCTTGACTAGAAAACCTGAGCTGTCTGCCAGTCTGCTAGTGGATGCTGGAGGTGTCGGTTCAGTGGGGGCATGCTGGTTTAGCAGAATGGTGACAGTAACATGTAGAGCACTGCTTGCCAAAGGTGTTCTGATTCCGTTGGCTGTGCAGGTTCTTAACCATCACCGTGTCAAGCAAAAGGTCAACAGCAAAGATCAAGAGGTGCCCTCAGCAACACGATGCCCAGTGTGTTTTCAAGGTTTGACCAATCACGAGGAGGTAAAGGAAACCTTTAATGTGATCTGCTAGAACCGGCCTGGCTTCCTGGACAAGGAAGAGTTGCATGGTGTCCCTGCTTCACTGGAGGGAAATCTAGCTGATGGCTATCTGGACACCGTGAGGAACGAGGCACCAGGCTCCGTCAATCTCACCGTGTCCCTCACTATGGTTGGTGAGAAGTTGGTGGACACAGATGCCGACGAGGTCATGAGGGATGCTTGCTTTGATGAAGAAGTGACTAGCCCAGAAAGACTTAGGGAGCTGCTGACATCCATGGGTGATTGTGTACAGTGGAGGAGGTGGGTGAACTGAACAGAGCAGCCCCTGGTGGGAAGAAGGGATTCCAGCTACATGGAGTTCACATGCATCCTTCAAAAGGGAGTAAAAGACAAAGATGATCGGGTTCTAGACAGACAAATAGACTAACATTCCTTCTGCCACTTGGGGTATTTCTGAGATTTTTTTTAAAAAGATTTATTTATTTATTATGTATACAGTGTTCTGTCTACATATGTGCCTGCATGCCAGAAGAGGGCACCAGACCTCATTATGGATGGTTGTGAGCCACCATGTGGTTGCTGGGATTGAACTCAGGACCTCTGGAAGAGCAGCCAGTGCTCTTAACCACTGAGCCATCTCTCCAGCCCTGAAATTGCATTATTATTATTATTATTATTATTATTATTATTATTATTATTATTATTTATTGGTTTTTCAAGACAGGGTTTCTCTGTGTAGCTTTGCGCCTTTCCTGGAACTCGCTTTGTAGATCAGGCTGGCCTCGAACTCACAGAGATCCGCCTCGCTCTGCCTCCCGAGTACTGGGATTAAAGGCGTGCGCCACCACCGCCCGGCGTCTGAGATTTTTTTGTCCTTAGCATTTCAGCTTTTTTTGCTTTCCTTGTTTTGTATTTATTCCTAACCATTTTAGGGCACATGAATCTAATCAGACTGGAAACAGGACTTTCTGTCATTTTGAACAGTTTAGTTTACAGGCACTCCTATCTCTCCCAGATAACTGCAGCCCACACAGAGCCATTTTTCCCCCCAGAAGTTCTTCACTCAATTTTTCCCCCCAAATGATAAACTTTTTAAATGTGAGTAGTCCTCTAGAGCCTTTTAAACACCCTGGGGCTGTGTATCTGTTTCTCCTCCTGTTAGAAACCTCAGCCTGCAAGACAGCTCTGATGGACAGTTGGTGTCTGCACCTGTTGTCTGCACACCCAGTACCAACTTCTGTCTTCATTAGGGTTTCTGTTGCTGTTTCCTTTTATAAAGGAAAACATTTAATTGAGTGCCTTACATTTTCAGAGGTTTAACCCATTATCATTATGGTGGGACATGGCAGCATGCAGACAAATATGGTGCCGGAGAAGGAGCTGAGAATTCTACATCTTTGATCCACAGGCAACAGGAAACGAACTGAACACTGAGCATGACTTGAGCATATATAAGCCCTCAAAGCCCACCCCCACAGTGACACACTTCCTCTAACAAGGCCATACCTATTCCAACAAAGCCATACCTCCTAATAGTACCACTCCCTATGAGTTTACAGGGGCCAATTACATTCAAATTACCACATTCCACTCCATGGCCCCCATAAACTTGTAACAATATCATGGTGCAAAATGCATTTAGTCTAACTTCAAAAGTCCCCATAGTTTATAACAGTGTCAACAATGTTTAAAAGTCCAAAGTTTCTTAGTAGAATTTCTGCTCAGGTCTGTCTGCACTTGCTAGGTATGGATGGATTTGAAGATCCTTGAATTTAATGAAACCACATTTAAACAAAGATTTTAGTAACCCTCCAATTGTGTAATTTTTCCTGGGAAACATGAACCAAGGACCACAGAAACCGTTCCACCCAAGTCTAGCTTCATGAACCAATGAGTTTCTTGGGGCTACTTACCAGAACATGAACCAACAAAGACAACTGCATCACCAAAAAGTCCACCCCAGCATGGGTGAAGACCCAGGAAATCTGCATCCCTGGAAGCCCCTACAGGACTTGCAGATGGCTTAATAGGAGAGTCTTATGGCTCTGAGTGAAGGCACAAAGGGGGCTGGTATAACCTGGGGAGGGGGAGTCTCGCTGTGAATGAGCAATGGGACTTGAGTAACCTTGCCAGAGGCACTGTGAATCTTGTAAGTTTCAGATTTCTGGAACCTGTAAGTTTTGTTTGCTTCCTGAGTATGGTAGTTTGAATGTAATTGGCCCTCATATGATCATTGGAAGTGGCATTATTAAGAGGTGTGGCTTTGTGGAGTAGGTGTGGCCTTGTTGGACGAAGTGTGCAGGCTTTGAGGTCTCATATATGCTCAAGCTACTCCTAGTGAGATAGTCCACTTCCCGTTGCCTTCTGATCAAGATGCAGCCACCACCATTTCTGCCTGCAGGCCATCATACTCGCTGCTGTGATGATAATGGACTAAACCCCTGAGTTGTAAGCCACCCCCTCAAGTAAATGTTTTCCTTTATACGAGTTACTGTGGTCATGGTGTCTCTTCACAGCAATAGAAACCCTAACGAAGACACTGAGCTTTAGGAGTAGCCCTCCCTCCAAGAGGGAATGTTACAGTTCTGTGGAATTTGCTGTACTACAAAGCATTTTTTTTTTTTTTTTGGTTTTTCGAGACAAGGTTTCTCTGTGTAGTTTTGGTGCCTTTCCTGGATCTCGCTCTGTAGACCAGGCTGGCCTCGAACTCACAGAGATCCACCTGCCTCTGCCTCCCAAGTGCTGGGATTAAAGGCGTGTGCCATCACCACCCACCACCACCACCACCACCACCACCACCACCACCACCATCGCTGCATTTTAAAAAAAAAAAATGTTTTGAGAACTTGCTGTTACTAGTTAGGCCTGGCTGGGTAGGTTTGGCCAGGTAACGGAGGCATTACCTCCTCATAAAAACCCATAAACAGAGCTTGGTGTCATTGATCCTGTAATCTTAGCACTTGAAAGGCGGTGGCAGAGGGGGCAAGGGGTTCAAGGCTCGCCTGTTCTCCACGAGTCCCTGTCTCAAAAAAAAAAAAATGTGTAAGTAAAAAATAAAAAAAGAAATGATACTAAGTTTGGGGGCTGGTGAGATGGCTCAGCAGGACTTGCCATGAGTCTGATGACCAGAATTTGGTTGCTGGAACCCACATGATGCAAGCTGTCTGGTAATTTTTTTTTTCATATTTGGTACACACAAATAAATACCAAATTTCAAGACAAGGAAGAATCTCTTTTAGTATTAATATTGAAAGCAACTTGACTCTTTATGAGAGTCTTGGAAAAGCAACTAGATGTTGGTCTGAAAAACTACCTTTTTAATATGAAAGCGGAACCTAATCTGTTACAGAATATTGGGAAAAGACAAAAAAAAAAAAAAAAAAAAAAACTGGGCAAGTCATCAGTCTATGCCCCGTCTATGATGGGTCTGTTATATATGACTGTCCTCCAGCTCAAACAGCCATCTTCAGGAGTTCAGCCATGCCCACCTGCAAAAGATCACTCTGGCAGGACTTCCTGACTGTCTACACCCCTTCCTAGAGGTTCAAAGACAGTCGTGGGACCCTCACCTGAATCTGCAGCTACTCCATACCACCTGCTGTGTGCAATTCTGCGTAATCTGGCCTCAGGGTGAGGCTAAAGGCTATAGGGAAGGAAGGACTAGGGGAGAGGTCTCTGTCTAAGGGCTGTGGGAAAGCTGCCCTGTTGGGTAAGACTTTCCAATGCAGCCTTGTGGTGAGGGTTGGACCCACACTCCACTAAACAATCCCTCACCCATGCTCTGTCAGGAAGCCCAATAAACCCAGTGGTTCCCCAGAGTGAACTTTGGTAGAATTGTGCTTTGGTTTGTTATTGAATCTTAGGAGGAAAGAGAGATATGTTGCTTATGTCCTGGAAGGAATTTTTGTGTGGGGGTGAGGTGCTCTATTCTCATGACCTGTTCCTATGCAGGTCAGGGCAACTGATACAAGTTTTAACCGACTTTTATGTGACGTGGGACAAAAGAAAAACAAAAATTAAGGGACTATTCTATTGCCACTAACCTCATAATCCTTTGGTTTTATTTTGATTCTTTTTTTTTTTTTTTTTTTTTTTTTGGTTTTTCAAGACAGGGTTTCTCTGTGTCGCTTTGGTGCCTGTCCTGGAACTCGCTTTGGAGACCAGGCTGGCCTCGAACTCACAGAGATCTGCCTGGCTCTGCCTCCCGAGTGCTGGGATTAAAGGCGTGCGCCGCCACCGCCGCCGCCGCCACCACCACCACCACCACCACCACCACCACCACCCGGCTTATTTTGATTCTTTAAAGCTTTCCTTAAGGTATAAATAGTATCTCAAAATTTATAAGATTAATATATATTAACATATATAACATATATATATGTTATACTTTTTGTCATGATATTAATGGTCATATAGAGCACTAACTACTTCTAGAAAAAGGCTTCATCTAGCTTCCTGTACATGATTTCAGGTTTGAGTCTCTATCAGGTAACTAGGAATTAAGTTTTTGTACTCTGGATGAACATAACAAATATTGATCCTTTAACCTCTCTGAGAGCTGCTGTATATGAGATTTAAAATGTTTAAGTTTTCTGCAGTGAACCATGACCATGTCTTTTAAAGTCTCCAAAAGGAGGATGGGGCCCCACAATGACAATTAAATCAGGACTATGATGACACCACTAAGCTGACAAACACCACCTGAAGATCGGCTTTGGACTACAAACTGCTCAGTACAGTCTCAAGGTGGCTAGCTGAGATGATCCAGCCTCACAGACTGCTCTAGCCAGGACTTGAGATAAGCCCTGCATTTTCCCATTACACAGAGACTGGATAGCAAATGATATAGCTAGCTCTCCCAGGAACTGATAATTATCCCAATTTTTTTTTCAGGATCCCCTAAAGATGCTGTTGCCCTCAGATAGCAAGAAGTAATTTTAAGAACACAATGCCCACATTACCAAGAGGTGGAGTGGACAGTTTTTGGTCGTTCAGTGGGTTATGGATAATTATCATTGTGTAGGGTGGTTGGTTACAAGTTGTTATTGGTCACGGTCAGGAAAAAAGCTGAACAAAGGAGATTGTAGTGGGTAGCCATTCCAGCTTTGATCTGGAAGTTCCAACCCCCATTGAGACTTCGGCAACTGTCACGCCTACAAGGTGGGGCCAAGGGAGGCGCCTGGGGACCCGAGAGCTGGATCGGCGGGCACTCTCTCTGTTGCGGGACCCTGGACTGGAGAGGTGGACCGAGCAGAGCTCCAGAGAACACCGCTGGACTGTGATACACCTTCCCCAGACTCCGCGACCTACCTATTCCTTAATTTGTAAGTTACGCCATTAAATAAATCTCCTTTTAACTACGTGGAGTGGCCTTAATAATTTCACCAATATCTGGCGCCCAACGTGGGGCTCGAACCCACGACCCTGAGATTAAGAGTCTCATGCTCTACCGACTGAGCTAGATAAGTTTTTCTAATAGCAATCTCAGAAGTCTCCAGAAGGAAGATGGGGCCCCAACAACAACTCTACCCAATCCAGAATGATGCCATGGTAATC